CGGCCTTCTTAGCTGCCTCCATTGCCAAGTTGGCAAGTCTCTCTTCTTCCGCCTTCTTTGCCTCCTCCTCCGCTTCCTTGGCCAATCGCTCCTCTTCGGCCGTCTTCGCTGCTTCCATTTCCTCCGCCTGCTTCGGTTCCTCCGACGCCTCCTCTGCCAAAGTTGCAATTGCGACGTCTGCGGCAGCCAACAAGTTTTGCTTTAGGCTTGCCACTGCAGTGTCGTCTTCAAGGGCTTTGACCTCACTAGGCCGTGGATCCCTTTTTCACGGTTGATGTGTTTCAGAGCACACTGCTATGTGGGAGCAGAGTCCGTGGGACCCTCTTCAGATAACAAAACAAAGCCACACCCTATCAGCGACATGGTGGTATCTAGTAACACAAACCTCGCGCCTCAGCAATCAGCACCGACTGCTCGTTTTCTGACTGCGCCAGAGGCGAGCCCGCCCCTGCCGCCTTTGGCAAAGCTTCGTTTACCCCAGCAGCTCTATCGCTCGACCGAGCCAACGCTGCATAAGCCTCGGCCACTGCGCGTTTTTCTTCCATACAGTCGGTGATGTCCGTCAGCTGCATTGTGTCGTCTATCATGTCGTAAACACAGGTGCCCCCGTTCGCAAGGTCGCATCCGTTTGCGAGGCAGTTTTGCACTCCATGGGCCACGACGAACATGCACGCATTGACAGCGAGCTCGGCTACAGATCCTGACCTCGAGTGCCTGTTGCTTATGCAGACTTCACTGGTCTCGACAGAGAGGGGATGGTCCTGGCCGTGGTGAAGCGTGTCATCGACTTTGATCGGCTGACAAAGGTCTGAGATAAGTTCGTGTAGAGAATGAGAAAGAACAGGTTGTAAGTCTTCAGAGTCTGGCACTTCTTGGACGGTCGTTCGCACCTCGCAGACTTCGTCGTATGCAATACTGCTCCCACCCTGCTTGTTCTCGTAACCCTTGCGGTGGTTGAGGGCATCCGCTGACACTGCGGCATCTTTCACCGAAGTCCTCCCTGAGAGTAGACGATCCTGAAAAAGCGGTTCTCTTGAAAACTTCTTGTCTTCTGCTCCGCCGCAGCGCTTTGTGGCAACCTGCATCCGGGCAGCACCACGCAGCACCCGATGACAACAATGATCTTCAACCCTGTATCTACACAACTTGATGTTATCGATTTGGATCGCCTTCATCTCCGCAATGAAGCTTGGCATTGACCTCATGTCAGCTGCCGTCTGCGAGCTAACAATCTGCAAGCCTTCCACCTGGCTAAAATCCTGCCAGAGAGCAGCGGTCTATAGATTTGCCGAGCTCTGGCGGGTGACTCTGCGATCCGGCGGGCCTCGTCAATTCCAGCCAAGACGGCACAGGCCCACACCCTGATCCCGTAGCTGGGAACATGGCAAGGACCACCCTTTCCTCACGCAAGACCTTTGCTGCCATTCCGCCGCAACCGGCCTGGCAAAATGAATTGATTGTGAGCTCTGCACTATTTGCACTCCATTTAGCAGCAGATCCCGGCCGGCAAACTACTGGCTCGTCCAAGAACACGCTTGGCTTCCACGACCTTTGCAAAGCATGACGGCAAGTAAAAAAAAAACAAAAGTACCGCTGGCCCAAGTCGAGAGCATGCTCCCGCAGCTCCTGGAGCATGGAATTCCGCGGCATTCGCACACACCCACAGCCAGTTACGGGGAGTGAGCTACAGGCTATGATGCGGACTGCCGTGGCATGCACACACACACACACACAAGACGCCCAGGAGCCCCCCTTTGCTCTTCGACAAACTACCCCAGGTCTACCTCTGAAAGAACTGTGATGTTCATGCAGCCTGTGCCGACAAGTCAAACTGGATTGCCCATCGGCTCCCTCCGAAATCTCCCCGGCAAATCCCGACAACCTATCCTGGTTGTCGCGAGCAATGCTGGCATTTAGGCGGCGCGCCATGCAAAGCCATTCCTGGGCCTCAGCAAAGGCTCAGAGACAAGACAACCCAAAGCAAAAGTCGAGCCGAAACCAGATTCAGGTACACCAACTGCTCTGGGCACTGCTTGTGTGACCTGCACATCCAGCTTGCGATGAGCCATCCATGTGGCCCGCGCTACATTGATGACACGTACTCTGTTAAGCATGCACTTCAGCCGAAATTTGTCACGGCATGGCCTCGTCATAGACAGTCTTGGGGAATGGGCAGAGCAGAGTTGCGGGCGGAGGATTTGCGCAACCTGCCCTGCGCTCCACAAAAAGTTCATTTTTCGAATTCGCTGCGATGCTGTCTGTCTGTACAGCTCGGGAGACAAGGCGTTCATGCAAAAAGCTTCTGAAGCAAATGCGTCGTGGCGTAAGGAATTAGGGCCAACCTTCGCCACGAGCAAGGGGTCACCTCTTGCTTGGCCTGCAGGTGACAAGGAATCGGATTACCAAATTGTCGTACAAACCTTTGGGCTCCCGGCGCAGGGCATCCGGGAGAAGTTGCCTATCACTGCCGTTATGCGGTCTAGGATGGGATGCTGGAGACTTTGCAGAGATGTGTTGAACCTCCATCTCTTGCAAACGTTGGCGGATTGCACCACTGGCGACCTTGATACCCGTAACGTGGTACAGCAATGGATGCATCGAATCTTTCCCTAATAAACTGCCGCATCGTGTAAGTCTCACATAAGGGCAGTGCAAACTTCCCATCCATGTTGAAAGTTCGATGCTGGCTTGCAGGCGATGGCGACACAGCCTTCACAAAATGCCCACGTGCTCAGCGGATGTTACCGGTCACCTGTCTTTGCTCTCGCGCCTTGTCGTCGCGCGAGGCTGCTAGACCAATGCCCCCTCGAAGCTCTTTGGCTTGACCAGCAGCTTCCGCCCTCGCCGCCCTGCACGCCAACTTCCGGCGGTACTTGGCATCTGCCTTCGCCCACGCGGACCGGTAAGGGCATCCACTGACACTGCATCCTTCTCCTTTTAGTTCTGCAGCCTCGGCCCGAGTACTTTCCAAGAAAGCGGCGGCCACGGCAGCTGGCCTCAGATCACCACAAAGAGGCGAACCACCGGGGGCGGGGCGGACGTCCGGAACCCCAGGAGCGCACATGTCCAGCTGCAGTGTCGGGAGCGGTGCCAAGTGAGAAACCTCACGATGGCAAGATCGTCAGCCAAAAGCGATGGAAACCAGCAACATTCGGGTGTGCTGCGGGCTTCACATCCAGCGGTGCCTTGCTTCGCCGATGTTTTGAGGGCGGGTACCGGAGTCAGTATACTGAGCGAGTACTGCATACGGAATGGTGCCAAGGCCTCTGCTGGACTGACCGTAGCTGCCCCGTGCCAAGACTCCAAACACTGTGCCTGCGTTGCCATGGGCATGTGCTACGCCATAGAGCTTCTTGACACTTGAGCTCACTTGCACACAAACGACGCAAAGAGACAAACGGAGACAAAAGGACACAAATAGAAACTCACATGCGGCACAAACGAGTTCTTCCGCTCGATGTTGAATCTGGCCTCGGCTTGCTTCCGGGGCTTCGAAGTCAAAGAACTTTCTGGCACCTGCTCGGCTTTCAAAACATCTTCGTCTTGCAGGGTTCTCGCTTTCAACTCCAGTCTTCATCACAGTTCTCTCTCGCCTCCACTTCAACAATCTGCGGTCTGGATGGGCCCCATGTTGAGCAGCCTCTCTGGTCCTAGGCGGTTGGGACCGGCTTGCACTTCAGGTTCAGGTGCAGCTGCGAGATCCACCGAGACGTGAACAGAACATCCAAGCGCGCAGGAGGCATGCCCCATGTCAGCTCTTCTATGGCTGCCTCTTGGCTTATGACCCAGCACGTGCTGTTGACTTGGGCGACAAGGTGCCTTCGCAGCTTCTTGATTCTCCCAGTCGGGATCACAGAGCCAAAGGCTCGCAATTAACGCCGAGTTCTTGTCCCTCAGACCCAATGTCCCTCAAACATGTCTAATCGTGCATGTCTTGAGAGACGGAGGGCGTGGCAGAACCTACAGCTGACTCCGCCACGTCGACATGCCCTTCATGTTGCAAAAACATCCTTTTGTGGTGCCCTCTGCCCATGCCTCCGTGCTGCCTCCGCGTCTCGGTGAAACAAGGTTAAAGGCACCGTGCAGTGCAGTGTCAGGCGGACCACGCGCGATTTTCCCAAGCATCATCTTTTACATGCTGAATCCATTGGAAAATTCTGGTGGCCAGGACCTTCTTGTCATCTGGGTGCTTGTCTGGATGCCATCGGGCACATAATCTTCGAAACAGTTTGGTCTGTTCAGCCTCATCCAGCTTGTGGGAATCTCGCAATTCGACTTTTAACTCGGTGATGATGTTTTTCATCTCTTCGTCCATCTGTGCTTCTTCTGCCCACTCGAAGAAGGTAAAATCCTCCTGACGGTCAGTGGGCTTCTCATCTGGGAATGTTCTCTGGTGGTCACCCTTGTCTTGGTGAGCTCGAACATCGAAAGGATTTGTGCGAGGCACTCGCTTGCATCGTTTGTGGGGTAGAGCCCCAGCTGCGCTTAAGAGAGATTGCAGGACTTCGCGATGATACAGGCGGGCTTGGTCCAATGCAGTATAACAAGGGCGCAAGCATTCCCCGCCAATGCCTTTGGGATTCCATTCATGGCAAACTACATTAACATTACTCCTGCCATCCTTTACGAACTCCAGTAGCACTTCCACGACCGACTGCCACCCTGCTTGCACTGCAGCTATCAATGCCGTGCGCTCCTCTGCATAGCCGCACGGGTTGCGGGTGAAAATGCCCGTCTTCCCACTGCCAATGCAACCGAACTCTGCAACTATTGTGTCTAGGTGGCATCCACAATTGTTGACCAGATGAAGTACTTCAGACACTTGGCCGTTTTTAGCAGCGTCAACAAGCCGACGCCCTAGGTCTTCTTCTGGAGGTTTGCCCTCGCACTCGTAAGTTTGCCATGCACGCAGTGTATAGTAATCATACTCATACATCGTCCGCTCCATGTGACTCGGCATGCCGAAGCTATGCTTCTTCACCAGCAATTGGTTCTCACGATCCAGCAGGTCGGCCAAATGCTTTGCAATTGGAAAGTCATGAAAATGGTGCTGCACAAAATGTCGCACCGATCGACGGACCAGGATGCGTTCACCAGAATCGTCGTCCCCAAGTTCTCCAACATTTGCGGAACAGGCATAAATTTGCCATGTGCTTACGAAAGAATAGAACAGGTTCGCACAGATATCCTCACGCGACCGCATTGATTTTGCACGTGCAAGACCAGAGCATGGCAAACCAGTGGTGTCCCGCCGACGTGCCACCAGCATTCGCGTCTCCATGTAATGCCCCGGTGCCCCCGTGCGACGGCATTTGATGGGTCTGCTGCACAGCCCCTCTTCGGTCCGGGCGATCCCATTCGTTTGGTAGATCACAGGGGTTCGATCATCCAAGAAGCCAAAGGAACCATCGCCGTCCAAGCCAGCTCCATCCACGTCATCTGCCGGTCCCAGCTTCAGGCAGGGATTCAACTCACACTTACCCTCCGGTGTTGACAAATATCTGTTAAACTTCCCATGGGTGGATTGCAGCACGAACTGTGCGACATAGAGCTCATTCTCATGCCTCCGCAAGGGCCGTGCGTTTCTCAACGTGCTAACGGTTGGAACTGCGAGGACCAGCTGCAATCTGCCTAAATCGGTGATGGCTTCATGCAGAGTGGGGCCAGTGGGTGGCAGGACATCCGCGGCATCCTTCTTCGGACCAGCCGATGTTGGAAACAAAGCTGATGGAATACTATATGGCTCCGTTACTGGCTTCGCAGCAACACTGGCCTCTGAAGGTTGGTCGCGGTCTGTTACCATGTACCCCCCCACGCACTCCGACATATTGCAGACAGTGGCAAACCAGTCGACATGGCTCAGAACCACTCACGAAGTTTCGCAACTACGCCGACAAAACTGCAATAGCTTAGATCCCGCGCTGCCCAAATAGTATGCCAAACCGACATCTACTGGCATGCTCTGGTAAGCTGAAACTGAATGGCACGAAATCCACTGGGCACACAGGAAGGCTTTGCACTTCTCGATGTGAAGTCTAGGAAGCTTAGACCCGTTTCGAAGTCGCACAGCTAGGTCCCTGGATAGGACATGCATGCACACCTACCGCCAATGCTTCAGGCCTCATACTCGCGAGGTCTCTTGTGCGTCAAAGGCTGCCACATCCGCACGAACATTTTGCGCGGATGACTCCGGTTTAAGTGGGTGATAAGCGCAGTGGCATTGCAAACAAGGTGGCTTCGCCATGCTGGCTCGCAAGGAGCACAAGAAGGCCACACACAAAACTTCCCAAGAACTATTGCCAGATGAAACCATCAAACATCTCACTGCACGCAGCCGCAGACATTACTGGATGCGCTCATGCGCTTACATCAGCTCGCCCCAGCACTCGTCTTTGGTGCCCAGTTTGGGTCGGCCTTGGGCGAGGCTACATGTCGGGAAACGGGTCCAGATGCCGAAAAGCCTGTCAGTCCCTATCCGGCACAAACACTCGTGCGTGCTGCAAAGCTGAACTGCAGGCCCCAATGCCGGTGAGAACATGCCGGCCCCATTGTTGAACCTGCTCAACTTCGACATGACAGCATCAGCAAGGTAGCCAACAGCCATCTTGCACTCGAGCCTTCGCGCTTGAGTGATGGGTAGTCATCATCATCTTCACAAGGCCCTCGCCTGCTTGCGAATCTTGCGAAAGGAGAAGTGGAACATGACAGCCACGACTCAGCTGGAGCACCTCCTCCGTCCTTTATCTCAGAAACCTCGACTTCGAAAGGCTGGGAAGCAAACCCTGTCGAGCCAGGCTGAAAGGAAAGAACTGGGCCGACGACACATCTAGTCTTGTCCAAATACTTAGCAAGTGCCTGCAGGGCCACAGTCGAACCGAAACGCGCATCGCTCTTTACTTGCAGCGAGGCCCTGCGGCCTCTAAAGCGGCGATCTGCAACTCGGCGTCCATGCCATGCTGAGACATGGCCTCCGCAAGTTGAAGCGAAGCGACACGAAGCCCCCTCCTATGACAAGGCTCCGCTCTCTCCGTCGGCTTCGGCTTCGGACCGTCTTTGTCAAGTCGATGGCACGTCTGCGAGGTGAGATTCGAATGGAACCACACAGTTGCACGATATTCATGACGCAGGTGCCTGTGGGAATATCGGGCTCTTTCTTGCACATCCTGTGGCCACTGCACCCCGCTGCCGAGCGCCCGCACACCCTGAAAGGTCCATGCTGTGCCCACACAATGCTCACTACATTAGCGAACTGGTCGTTGCTGCTGGCCTTCGTTTGTATTAGTGCATCTTGACCGTGGTGGCGCATGGCCTCTTCCACCCGCCTCAGAAACAAAACTGAAATTGCTGCTTTTTCCAATACTATGATATGAAGACGTGGTCCTCAACCTGGGACCGTCGGGACTTCGGGGGATGCAAACTGCAACGCAGGTATGTGTTCCCAGGGCAGGTTCAGGCCACAGCGGAGAGCGGGATAGGCGGAATGGAAACTGTTCCATCGACAATGCCATGCTTGAAAGCACTTGCCCTTCGAAAGCATTCTGCTCAAATTTGGCGGCTCGGAACATCCGCACCCCTGCCCCCAAGAAGTCTAGAGGTTGGATTGGGAACGCGATCGGGGGAATACGCGTTTAAAGAATTCACACCGTAACAGCGGAATTTCCAGCTCCAGAAGACATGACCGAGGTCAACGAAAGCTAGCGAGGGTTGCTCGTGCACGAAGACACCAGGAGAAAACAGGTTCCTATGTGATCATGCAAGCATATCCAGCAGAACAGAATCAGGAGGGAGGATTGATGCAAGCATGAACCTTGATGCGATTCGTGCCATTGCATGCTGGCGCAGCGAGCAGTAAGGACAGAAGGAGGGGGCAATGAGGTTGGCTTGATGCAGCTATCAGGCACCATATTGCAGTGAGCAACACGGAATCAAACAGTGGGAGGCTGGATGCGACCAATGATGTGAACCTACCATGGCCAGGCAAGTGCTGTGAGCAGCACAGAACTGCCTCAATCAGCGCAATGCAGCGTGTCAAACAAAACGAGGCAAAGCATGGAGAAAGACGAGGGAGGCTTGATGCAACCATGAAGCATGCTGTGATTTGCACCATGCCATCCAAGCGTGGTGAGGGATGCTCAGGAGCATGACAGTAAGGATGCCAAGCATGATGTTCTCGAACGGCTACCGGGGCAGTGCTGTAAGCATTGCGCAAGAACAGAAAGGCTTGATGCACCCATCATGTCCAGCATTCTGATATCCTTACCGTGACCTTGCAATATTGCGGTTCCGACGAAAAGTTTAATTCAGGCCCCCCCCCCCCCACCCAAAAACCAAATCAGTTTCCTATGAAAAGATCGGTCTAGCTCCACCCACCCCCAGGGCTTCTAGAGTAGACAGTTATAATCACAGCTTAAGCCTAGCTCCTGCTAGCCTTCGTGATCATTCACAAGCGGCTAAGCAGTTAACAAGCAGTATGAATTCAGCCGCCACAGAAGAATTGCCCCGTAGTTCGGAAAAGTTTATGCGTGTGTGTACAACCAGGAAAGCATCGGATGCACTGGACTTCACCCATCTTATCTGAACTGAACTAAATCACCATGGCATGCTGCCAGCACTTGCCACCGACACCAAGAATCGGAGATGACTGTCATCCGCCCGAGAAGGAAAGCGACTAGCGGCAGGCTGAATCATCATGAATCATAATGTGCCCCCCAAGTCAAACAAGCTGTGTGAACAATGTTGTTTTTGCCGGCGGCGGCTCCGGAAAAGTCTGGCGAGTAGTGGTATTACTAGTAGTACTTGACTGTTAATGGATGTCCCTGGGTAATTTCTGAAAGTTCGGTGCACTGCTTCCAAGGAAACGGGTGCGGGAAGCTGTTCATTATTATTGACCGGGCAGGCTTTGCATTATAGGGGTTCCACAAGAGTCAGGCGTTCACATTAGCACACTTGCGCCAATCTAGTTTGTACCAGATACCAAAAAAATGAGAAACACAGCCACGCTTTGGGGGCCTTTGGTGTGGAAATGTGTGGAACAGAACATGAAGGGCAATCCTGCAGGCTTGGCCCGTCCACACTCGGATGTGCGAGCAAGGGGCTCCATGCCCCCAACATCTGCAAACGCTCGCAGACCAGCCTGCAGCTTCGGTGATAGCCCACCATTGTCACTCAGGCGCATGACAAGCTTCCAACCCATCTGTTGCCGACCAGACTCGACCTCACCAACTGAAGAGGGTCGGTTGTCCGGCACTGCTACGACTATGGTGCACTGATATTGCTTGCTCATCAGCCAGGCCAGACTCAGAACAGGCAGAGTGAAAGCAGGACTAAGGTCGACTCATCGCCTCTATCCCGGTCCTTAATTGCAGAAAGCTGGAACCTTCGCCCGAATTGGCGCGAATGACAGAATTGCGGTGAACAACACTGACATTAAGACAATAAGGAAGCATAAGCCATTGGCAACTGCACCATGCTGTCCTCAATGAAGCGCGCCATGATACTGGCAGCGGCTCGTATTGCACCTGTGCCGAACACGGGCTGTGACCAGGCTGCTAAGCAACTCCGCTCTCGCTCTGGGCTTATGGAGACCGCAGTTCTCTCCTGCTTCAACAAGCGCTGCTGGCAAATCCTTCACCGTGTCGTTTGGGGACAGGATCTTGGCCTCCCAGCAGAAACAAGCAGTTTGGAAAAAGCTGCAGCACAAGCCTTTCTTGGCGCATGCTTCTGCACTGGGTCGGCGGCAAGCGCTAACCAGCCAACTCCATCTATTGGGATCTTGCACTCCTGCTCGCTTCTTGTGAAGCCCTGCCAGGCACCACATACGTGAGTGCCACCGCAAGTTGACACAATGTTCGACCATGCGTCGTAACAAGTGTGCACAGGTGTGGAACGAACTAGTGGATTTTTTCTGAAAATGGCCAGCAGTCCGATGGATGGCTCGGGCGCGAAAACTCGTGTTGCCTCTTTCGTGCACCCTTGCAGCAGCCATGGGCTTGCATGCGCAGTCTTGGAATTGTCCTGTCTCTCTCTACTTAACTGTGAAGACCTGCTCGGGCAATGCTTGAAGTTGCCTTCTGGTTCGGTTGTCTCTTCCATCTTCGCAAGCCGCAGCTGTCAAAAAGTCTCATTTGAATAATGAGTCGTCCATAACCATGCTTGCAAAAACAGGCGATGCAACAGTACCAAATTCTGAAACAAAACACTTGGCCTACGATACATCTTGCTAGGACACACTTCCCGGTGGTTAATCGCCGCTCATCGTGCAAGAGCCGCCGTGCCGCGGAAACCGATATAGCCCTAAAGTCTAAAGTAGCACATGCCGTATCTCGTTGGCACCCCTACCTCCGCAAAAAGGCAGATACCAGGTCACAGATCAAGGCCCAGAGCCAGAGCCAAAAAGTGGTTTCAGGGATGCGCAGTACCCCCCGCAGAAGTAACTCGATGACTCTGATGGCCTCTGCCGCTTGCTTTGCCTCTATGACCTGGAGCCGCCAAAACGACTTCATCAACACGTGCTTGCGTGAGTGTGCAGGAACGTCGTCGGCGCACCTCGTTTGAGGAGAGTTGCGCCATCAATTGCGGCACAATTTCTTTGCTCGCGGCCTTTCTCCAACGTAACTGCTACACGAGATCAGTCTCATGATTCAGAATAGCTGCTCGAAGCCTCGCCACGGCAAGCTGCCAAAAACAGTCCGCATAACGCACCGGTAGAGCCAGACGGCAGCTGCACCGGCTGTTCTGGTGGTGGACCCCCACCTCGGCATTGACCAGTCTCTCGCTGAACCCTGCCTGTATGCTGAAAGCTACAACAGGACCTGAGCACATGAGTTGAATCTCTCAGGTCTTTGCACAAGAAAACCGAGATATGCATTTCCCTTGCATGAAAGCTACACCCACAAACTAGTAGTGTTCCTTTGTGTTGTGATGCTCGGCTTACACAACTTCCACAGCAGACTGACAGCCACTGGCATCATGAACCAGACAGACTTGGGCTTCCAGACAAGCCGGCTACATACTAGCGCACTTTCGTCAACCATTTCTGCAAGTCTGGGTGGTTGCGTCCCAGTACCTGCGCATGCCCAAGCGGACAGCCAGCCAAACCAAACCCAAACTCGGCACAGCTTTCGTCCGCCTGAAGATCGACAGATGTTGTGTTCCAACGCTTGTTTTATGATGTTGCTCTGCCATGTTCTGAGCCACGAACCGTCACTGTCCGGCTTGACCTGTACGGCCGCGTGTTGCCAGTTGCCCAGCCCAAGAACAAGGCACGAGTCTTTCTCACCTCTGCTGCGATGATCCTTGCCAGGGCCTCGCTGGCCCTGGCGCCGATCTCCTTCGCACATCAGACGTCGCAAGCACCCGTCCCACTGCTTGCAAATTTTGAATGCCGACCCGGCCAATTGAGCCAATTCTCCATGAAACTTGAGAACCCCTGAGATTTCGTCCCCTTCGTGCTCGTGCTGCTGGCAAACAAACCTTACCGGGTCTTACCGACAAGCCGGAGGCGGGCGCTCGTCTGCGCTTAACGCTGTTGTTTCACGTTCGAGCTGAACAGCTCACATTCAAGCATGCCGAGACCGCCAGGACAGGTCCTTCGGCTCCGCTTTGGATGCCATCGCTGACAGGAGCTGGCCCATGACCTCTATGTGTGGCTTGGCGAGACACAGGGGACACGGAAACAGAAAGGGTGAAAATGGGTGCTTGCGCGTCTGCCTGTCTCTGTCTCTGTCTCTGTCTCTGTCTCTGTCTCTGTCTCTGTCTCTGTCTCTGTCTCTGTCTCTGTCTCCGTCTCTGTCTCTCTCTTGCTTGCTTGCTTGCCTGCTTGCCTGCAGGTGGTGTGGGGTGCAAGTTAGTCCTTCGCCCCCCTGCGCTCTCGCACTACGCCTGAGTTCGTGTCTCTCGCTCTTACTCACTCTTGCTTGCTTGCTGGGGGTGTGAGGGGAAACCCCTCTGGCCCAAAGGCCTACCCCTCAAAGGCGCGCAATTCTGTCGTCTGAGTAGCCCCCATTCGGGGGTGGAGCAGTGCAGTTCCCCTGTCCGCACCTGTTGACCCATCCCCCAAGGAACACCCCTCCTAAACTCTCACCATGAAAACCTCGGCAGGCTGCGAACAGGTCTTCCTGGTGCTCCGGACATTAGCACGTGCTGTGGCTGTCGGGACTTTGAAAGCTGCGACCTCTTCCCACCTAGTAGCAAACACGTCGTCCCCTTGCAAAGCCACAGTTCTGCGTGCCGGTCGAGCTCCACTTCTCCGGCTACAAAGCGAGAGCTCCTTCCCGAACCCCACCTTACCTGCCTCCCCACCTTATCCCGAACAGAAGCCTCGCGCGACACTGCCTGATACCTGCCCACCCCAGCCCCGAACCTCACTCACTTTAGACATGGCAGCCCTGAGGGTGCGACGTAACAGCCACTACGACATGACCCCTACCGGCACTTTAACACAAGTTCATTTCACTGCCATGTCCTGTGAAAGGGGCTCTGGTCCCCGTTGTGGGTTGTTCCCTTTGCGCAAACTACGGCAGCGGCACTGTTCCCCTTGCTCCCCCTTGGCAACAAGAAACTGGACACACAGCAGTAGAGAAGCCCCGTCTTAATCGTCATTGTCGAGGGAGCTTGGGCTTGTAAGTGCCCTGCGTCGTCTTCGGAGCTCTGTGGGGCTAGGCCCCTCACTTTCCCCCTCAGGTCTTGGTCCGGCTGGTCGTGTAAAGGGCGTCGTAGAACTGGCCGCCCCACTGTCTGCGTCCGGCAGCGTGGCCATAGCGTTGCCCCATGCCAGCTCCGGTTTTTCCCCTTGCTGGGTCTCCGCCGCTTCTGTGCCCCCTGTATTTCCGGCTGGTGCTATTTGGGGTTGTGGGGCTGCTCCCGCGCCATTGGATTAATGTTCCCCTCCCTTTCCTCATCGCTGCTGAGTAGTTGGACTTCTTCTCCCCAATGTGCTCGAATCCGCTCCCCCAGGTGAGCGAGGGCTTGGCTCCCCAACACTTGCATCTCCCCTTCCAGGAAAGGTTGAAGGCGTCGTAAAGCTCGTTGGGCTTTGTAGATATGTACTGCGTCAGGCGGGTCTCGGTCACGGCGCTGCGAGGGTTTGTCCCCTTTGCTGTGCGGAAACATCCGACGGGTATATGCGTTCTGCTTCCCCTCCTTGTGGGTAGATCCCCACCAGCACTCCTACCCCCGTTGCCGCCTCGTCGAGCAGGTCGCGCAGCCTTGGCAACATGTCCCCCACGTCCGGCTCCGCTTGTGCCAGCGGAGTGGTTGGTGGCTGTAGCAACTGTGAGGAGTGCAAGCGCTGGGAAATTGTGGGCTTTGAAGCGAGGATTTTCACCACCGTGGCAGTAGGGACTCCAAGCTTTTCTTGCCACCGGACTTTGCACGCTGCCCACATTTCAAAAGCCAATAGCGGGCTCCCCCTCAGCTTGTCGTAGACCACTTGCAAGTGTGATCCCCCGCTGAGAGCGCCAACAGTCATGAGGGCGCTGTAGGCATTGCTGAAGAGAGCATCCGCTATGTCTTCTCTCCTCCCCGGTGCCAGGGCTTTAAGTTTGTCTGCCATGGACGTCAAGCGGTTTTGGGACATGTTCCAAAGGAGGTCGTCGGCATGCCACGGTCTTTCGTAAATCCCCTGACCATTCTGCGCACCAGTTTTCGTTGGCTGCTGTTCCCCCGAATGGGCAGGTCTGGAGGATGGCTCGATGAGGTAGAGCTCGAGGAGTCTTCCCCGTCGCTTGTGCAAGCTGCGGAGGCGGCCTCGTCTCCCCCTGCCTTGTGGGTAGCGCTCGCAATCGCCGAGGTTGTTGCAGCTTCTCCCCCGGCAGGAATGGGGCTCTTCGGTGCCCCGGAATTTTCTCCCCCGGCTTGGGGAGCATTCACAGCCTCTTCCGTCTTGGCTGCTGACGGGGCTGATCCATGGCTGTCGTCTGTAGTCTAGCTTGCAGAGAGAGAGGGCAGCTGTAGGGGCGGCCAGGGTCGCTCAGTGTTCACTGTGACATGGCATGCATGATGCAACTGTGTCCCCTGCTCAAAAACAACGACAACGATGCTCTCACTCACTCGGTTCGGTAGAAGGTCGTGTGCTCGTCTTGCTGTTCATGTAGTAGGTCGAGGGCTTCTGTTCAGGTAGTAGATCACGATGGATACTCTGCCAGGTTGTGAGAAGTGGTTATGGCATATGGGGTGTAGGCCCCAGAGAAAAAGGGGGGGAAGCCAACAAGCCCTCCCAGGTGACCTGTCATTCGCGGAGCATCCCCCTTCCCCTCCTTGCTGGCATGTCTGCCTGTGTTGGTGTGAGGTTGTCGAGCTGCGTTTGTCTTCCTGTTGCCCATGGGATGTCGTGTTGTGCCACAAATTCGGTTGTGAGTCCCCTCCATCGATCTCTGTCAAGTGCCACCTGCATCCACTGTTGCCCCCCTGTTTTGCTGAGAGCTCTCTCCACATCCAGGTTGCTGTTAAACCGTTGTTTGTGCTTAATGCCTTTACTCCCTTTGCTTTGCTCGTGCTTCCACCAGGTAAGGTCTTTCCATGTGACCATAGATCGGACTTCGTCCCCCCCTCTGCTCAAGTGCCCCCAGAAAGTCCATATCCGTTCTAGTATGTAGCTGCTCCAACTTAGGAACCAGAAGAGCTCGTCCCCCATCTTCAGGCAGGTCTTGTCTTCCCTGAGGTGGGGGTTCCCCTCCTGCCAGATAACCTGGGCTGTCTCCGTGATCCGAGGGGCGACCTAGTTCCCCCCAGGGCCAGTTGTGCCCCAGCATCGGCTCATCCTCGTCATCTGTACTCCCTCCCCAATCGGGTTGAGTGTCAGTGTCGAGCTGTTCTTTTCTCCCACGGCTTTGCATCTTCACTGCGCGCTTTTTGCCCATGCTCTTCCTGTGGCAGGCTCTCTGTCTGTCCCCCACCAGGATCATCTCGAGTGGCGACTCCCCCGGCTGACGGCACACGTTGAGTTGTCCTTGGTATGGTGGTTGTCGCTGTCGAGCTGACTGGGTTCACGGCTTGCTTGCTCTGTCCTGTCCCCCGTCTCTTGCGGATCTTCTTGCGGACCTTCTTTGCCTGTCTGAGCAGCTCCCCCACTTGGTCTGGGAAGCGGGCGACGTAGATGCGGGCCTCCGCAAAAACTCTGGGCAAGTAATTATCCACTATGTGGATATATTTGTCGTTGTCGGCTTTGTCCGCGCGAGGTTCCGCTGCAAGTGCCGGGTGTGGTAGGCTTCGTAGGATGTGTGTGGCCAGCTTATTCGAAAGAAGCTTTCCTGTGAAGCGTCTTTGTACTCCCCGCTGACGGCATCCCTTTGGATATCCTGGCCTATCCAGCGGTCCAAGACATGGGGTTCGTACAACAAAATATTCCCTCGCTTCGTCATGAATTGTGTCATCTCCGAAAGCGGTCGTGGTGTGGCTGGCTTCGTAGTGCCTGCAACTCCCCCCTGCGGAGCGGAGGGCTCCCCGCTTTGTGGAGTTGTTGGCGACCGGCTTCTCGTAGGTCTGCTGTTTCCTCTCTGTGTCGCCCCGTGCAGACGGCATTGTGGGTCTGCTCGCTCATGCTGTTTTCTGCACCCGGTGGTACAGGTACTCCCGCCATACCTGCATAGCTTGCACTTTTTCTCCATCCCCCGTAGGTCGGACTTCACTATGTCGCCCTTCCTGCCAAAATCACGATCTTGTAGTAGTTGGCCTCCCCCGCCCAACGTAAAGGTAGAAGACGATCGGCGGATTGGCAAAGGAAGGGAAGCGGTGGATGGAGAGGAAAGTCCCCTTCTTGGCAAGAGCGTCCAGGGTCTGGGCCTTGCAGTCACCAGGTCCCCCCCAAAGTCGTAGTGTTTCAAACTTTACCTGCACGGTTATCGCTCGCGTCTAGGAACCTGTCCAAGGGCCTCTGAAGCAAAGTGGCAGCGGTTGTGTGACTCAAGCCTCCCCCCGATTGAAGGAGCGTCCACCCAACAAGGCTGCTGGGGACAGCCAGCAGCGTCGAAGGGCCGTCCTCAAGCGCCCCCCCCACAAGGAGAGAGCGGCGGGTGGTTCCCGCTACGGGATGTTTTTATAGGGGGCTCGGCGCTCTAGCTCTCTCTTGCTTGCTTGCAAGGGGTTTAGGGTCCAGGAAGACCCCTGGCCGAAGGCCGACCCCCCACGGTTCGCGATCCAAAGGTCTGGCTGGGTAGCCCCTTCCAGGGGTGAGCGCACACGTGTCGCTATCTATCTCTCTCTCTCTCTCTCTCCAGGGACAGGAGAAAACAGCGGTCCAGCTGAATC